TTAGGCTTTGGACTTTGAGACCCAATAATTTTGTGCTAACCCCTGGCCTATAGTTACACTTGAATGTTGCATTTTAAGAATTTAAGATAGGTTCATTGTAACTTTCGATTGGCTAAATGCTCAAGCCTTTCGAATCTCAACCTGAGGGTCTAGCATAATTACAGTCGAAGGAGTCAGCAAGGAGCATGTGGCAAAGAATGAACCTTGCTGCCTCCAAGCCTCAAATGAAGAACAGAACCTTGCTGCCTCTAGGCCTCAAATGAAGGACAGAACCTTGCTGCCCTTAGGCCTCAAACGAAGGACATGACCTTGCTTTCTCCAGGCCTCAAACGAAGGACAGAACCTTGCTGACTCTAGGTCCAAATCGAAAGAGGTCAAAAGTGCAGAAACGAAGGATGCTTCTTCCTGAATCGAAAGAGCTCATTTTTCTTATTTTTATTTTTATTTTCTCTTTATATTTTCTTGCTATTTAAATATGGTTGTAATAGTGTAGGGTTTATTTTTTGCATTTTTATTGCTTTTATGCTAGTAACTAGGATGTATGGCAAGATAAAAACAACAAGTAGATAACCAAAAGTTCAAAAGACAAAAAATGCATGCAATCAAACACACTTTTCACACACATACAACTCTAGGGTAATTACACTTGTTGCCTCGAAAACATAGTCATGTCCCTAGAATATGGGCGTTTTAGCAAAAACCTTGATAAAAGATGGTAGTCCCTTGATGACCCTCAATATTGCCTTCGATAAATGATCTAGTCCCTAAACAAAATTGCTAAAACATCCCATAGGTTGCCTTCTATGACTATACAAACATCACACGCCCGTCCCTTCAAATCCAATGATGGGGATTATTACCAAATTGATGGTAAGATATAAACATCTAAAGGAGGAGTAAAAGAACATTAAAGACATTTTGAGTAGGTAGGATGCTCCTACTTGCTCGCTTGCTCACAACAAAAACATTTTATACACCCACAATTTCACTTTGAAACATTTTCAAAAGACAAAACACTTTGTACCCGTTCTTATAGAGACAAGAACCATTACAAATACATTAATTTTCAAAATACTTTCAAAACCCACACCACAAGCACATTTTCAAACAAAAAGCAAGTGATCTAGCAAGCAACTAAGAGCCCGTAGATAACTACGGATGAAAAGGGTGCTAATACCTTCCCTTTTCATAACCTACCCCCCGAACTCAAGAAAACAATATCAAAGGTATTTCCTGTTCTTTTCACCCTTTCCTTATTGGATAAAAGAAAAGTCGGTGGTTACTCTTTCTATCCGCAACAATTGCAATCAAACGCAAAACACCCAAGTCAGTTCTCCCACCGTGTTACAGAACGGGCGACTCTAATGGGGATTTACTTAAAAGTGGGGTTACCTTAGGTCTAGATCACCTTTACTTGCTTTTCATTGTTTGATTTGTTTGCTTTATATTATGGTTCCTTGTTTGGGTTTGCTTTGGTCCTCTACCCGGATTTGGGGTACCTTTTTAGGTAAGTAGCAATAAGTTGTGGAAACTGTGCGGGGTATACCGACATGGTCTAAGAAATAGCTATGTTAGTGTGACACATTTGTTGGTACCGGTAGCCCTTGAGTAGTCAAGGAGAATACAGGGCCGTTGTGTGATGTAATGAAGCACTAACTGACTTTAGAACCTTTACTTGAACAACTTGGCCATTAGGAAGTAGAGAGGTAGCCGGCTTTGGTGTAGTCCAAAGTTGGTTGATACTCGATAATACGCTCATTGAGATTGGATTTTCGGGATATTTTGGCTGCCAATAAAGAGGCTTGCGCTGAAACAATGGCCGATGAAGAAAGATCGGTGATATTGAGATTCCCTAGAACCCGTTTACTTTCTAGGACAGGTTGAACCAACTAAACTTCAAGAGGATACTTACCTATGAACCTCATGCAAGCCTAAACCTAAGGACTTGTTTGATTAACTTGTGCATATGCTTGTATATAACATTATGGCATCATACCATAGCATTTTAGACTAACCATGTCAAGGATTTTGAGATTCATCTTTATTCTATTTTGTAGGACATGACTCTCACTCGCAGGAACGCAATCTAAGTCAGCCTTGTACGAGTACCTTTTCAGCTCAAGGAGTTAGCATCAAGGGTCCCTGAGAATTCTCCGTTCACCAAAAGACATGGATGGCTTCTCAACTTGGTTACCTCAAGCTTTGATAAAGATATGATGAAGATGTGTTTCCAGTTCTTTGACCCTTTGTACCATTGCTTTACCTTCCCCGATTACCAGCTTGTACCTACTATAGAAGAATTATCTCAACTCTTGGGAATTCCTATTCTCAATCAACTACCTTTCAACCGTACTGAAAGAGACCCAGGCCCTGAAAAGGTTGCCCGAGCTTTACACTTGCAATAATTCGATATCACAGCTAATTGGGAAAAAAGAAGTGGTGTCAAAGGCTTCCTAGCCAAGTTCCTGTTGGAAAAAGATCAAGACTGTTGGAACACTATGGATTTACAAGCTTTCAAAGAAATTTTGGCTCTTCTCATCTATGGGATGGTACTATTTCTAAATCCTGACCAACTTATAGATGTGAATGCTGTCAAAATCTTCTTATCTCACAATCCAGTACCTACTTTGTTGGGAGATATCTTGCATTCTCTCTACTCTCTCACCATGAAGAGAAGAGGAGCCCTCATGTGTTGTACTCCTCTGTTGGCTAGGTGGTTTATTTCACATCTCCCCTATTATGAAGAACGAGCAAGGCTTGAGATGGTCCAATAGGTTGATGTCACTCAGACATTCAGATATCCGTTGGTGTTCTCGATCCATGGAGGACATTACTATCATCGACCGTTGTGGGGAATTATCTAATGTCCCTCTGCTTGGCATTAGGGAAGGTATCACTTATAACCCTTATTTAGCTTTGCGATAGTTTGGGTACGCATGAAGAGATGGTCCACATGATGCGCTCATCCAAGGTGTGGTGTTCGACTACGAGAGCGACGATCAAGGCTACCGTCAGAGGTTTATACGAGCTTGGAGGATGATAAACAAAATGGATAGTAAGACATTGGGACACATAAACTCTATTCCCCTTGAGCCTTATCTTAGGTGGGTGCGAGCTCGTGTTCATAGTCTCGTAATGCCTTACCCCTCCATCCTCCATGTTATCATGGAGCCTGTTACTGAAGGAGATGTCCCGTATACTGTCCTTCATCCTAACATGTCTACCTCTCTTGAAGACTTTCAAAAGGATTGAATTCAGCTAAAGGAAGAGCGAGACACTTTCGAAGCCTAATTCTACGCCAGTGAGAAGAAAGTTTTGGAACTCACCAAGCAGCTCCATGAAGAGCGGAGTTTGAACGCCTACATCGCACCGAAGAGGATGCGTTCAACCTTTTTGTCTTAGGAGTTTTTGTATTTTATTTCTTTCATTGTAAGCCCAAAGAGGCATGATGTACTCGAACTTGGATTTATTAATACAACGTGTGTTTCCTTTTTGTCTAAGCAAATTTAAATCTCTAATTTCCTTGAAATCATTTGCATATGCATTTTCATTCATCATAACACAAACAGATTTCTTACAACAGATCTCCTTATCTTTCTACTGTTTATTTCAGTGAGATGGATATTGAACAGACAGTAAAAGATCTTCAAGCGCAGAACGCTCAATTTCAACAAATGTTCTTGGCTCTGGCTAAAGGACAAGAGGACTTGAAGGCTTTGGTGATCAAAGAGAAGAAGAAGAAGGCGAAGAAATCAGTCGGTGTTTTGAATCTGAGAAGAAGGTTTAAAGGACCAGCCAAGCGAACTCTAGATTTTGGGTAAAGGAAGATTGAGTTTGGAACAAGGGCGGATAAGGCAGAAAAGGGGATGGTGATTGTGCGGTCGATACACGTGGTGGGGGTAGGGTTTGTGTATGTATTGCTGAGTTACACAGGGGGTAAAAATTGGCGGTGAAACCATGGTGGTGGCACCAGTTATCATAGGGGACGAAGGATAAACATGAGTAGTACCTGATGAATTCGTGGGTGACTGAATAGGAACAGACTGCAATATGTTTTTTATTATCGAAGCGAGTACGAATCTCTTCAACTTGCTGAGTAAAATCAGCAACGACGTTATCAAAACGCTCATCAAATTGCTGCTGATTTTCTTATAAAGCAGTGTTCAAATGGAGGTGAGCTAGATGTACAACTTCTTCCACAATGTCTTTAGATAAAGGGTTGGTAGGTTTAGGAGGAGCCATACGTTCAAGGGATGGAAAGCATCAATGATAAATTATGTTAAACTAATTTTAAATCTGGGTTGCATAAGAAGACAATAAGATAAAAACAACTTTTCTTCATTCGTAATAATAACCAACAACATATACAATTTATATATCTAAGATTTTGAAAGACTAAATGGATCATGGGTCACTTGATTAAAAGGACATAATAATATTTAAAATCTGATGCTAAAAACACCTATAATTTATAATATAGTCTTTTAGTAAAACATAGACTGTTTTCTCTCTCTAATGGTCCTGGATAACACACTCCAGTTGTTTCGAGAAAACCATAATAGTGTGATTATGAGCATTGATGTCCTATGAGTCTTTTATCATTATCGGTGACATTTGTCCCCGTCCCAACCTCATACTGACCCGGCTAGGGCTGGTATGTGAATTGCTTTTGGATCATAAAGTGGACTTATCTAGTCTAAAACAAATTCAATTTTTTGGTCGTCTAGAAACTATTTATCCTTAAAAAACTTAAACACTTCCCAATCATATATCCATAATCCATGTAATCGTTGAACATAGTCAACAACCGTATTGCTTTCTTTTACATATCAATCAAATTATACCTAACTTGAAGCTTTAGTAACAACCATGTATCAAAGTTTTCAACTGTGGCTATAAACACATTTCATTTCATTAATAATAATCAGTAGTAACACATAATAAAACATGGAAATTTCAAAGCGAATATTGTGTATACACTTGACAAATATTTCTTGTAATCAAAACCTATATCTAATAACATCTTCCTCTTTCTTCTTGTTGTCACTAAGAATTGAGTCGATTGTAGAAGCATCAATTCTTGATGATTCCTGCTTCACCCATTGAACAACCCTCTCTGCTTCAAACTTTACCTTCTTTTCCTCTTCCAAAGCTTTCTTCAACCTCCTTTCTTGTTCTTTGACAGAAAAAGTGCTCATATCAGATAATATTTCATCATTCTTTTTCCATTCAACTTGGCCTAAACTTGAAACTCCTATGCTTTTGTTGTTCCTTGCAACATCTTTCTTGGTGGAGAAACAAAAGCAACATGAAGCGGATCCTTCTGGGTACTCTGGTTCCATCATATATAGTACGTGAATTAATTTTGGTTCATATAAGTAAAACTAATAACCCTTTTTTGAAAACTTATTTGTTGAAATGTTGAAAACCTTATTGGTATATTATTTAATCTCCATGTATAAATATTTGGAGCCATTTTCGATAGTTAATTTCATTGAAATTTTGTTTGAGTTGTTGGAAAGTTTGTGTCAAAGCTGACCTTTGCTTATGTAATATTCATTTTGGGCGGCTGCAAGTTGAGATATTTTTTCATCTTTTATTTCATACAATAATTAGTGGGAGGAAAGGATTAGGCCAAGGCCCATCTATTTATAAAGACTTTGCTAAAGGAAAATGCATGACATTTCAAGGAGAATTTAACTGACACCCCTTCATTGTACCTAGCGCTTCACATATTCTGTAATTTCACCATAATACAGTACAATTTTATTTTTTAAATAACACATTTTTTAAATAATATACTCAAATAACCACCATCTTAGAAAATATATCAAATTAATTATTTTTCAAATAAAAAAAATTAATATGTAGTAGATACACCACTACATGTAGCATATGCACTTTAATTTTCAGTCAGACGCCATCTACTATAGCACATGCACCTATGTCATGCCAAATGAGCATTGACACGTGCACTATAGAATTAGGAGTGTGCGCCAATCACCCTGACTCCTATGTTATTTTTATTTTTTTGTAAATAGGTCATTCATTTTCACTATTTACCACTCATCTTCTCAGTTCACACTTAATCATTTCTTAAAAAATGTTTTACATTATCAAAAGAAATGCTCAATTTTTTCACCAATAAAATCTCCGATGAAGATCTGACTTTGGAACACTAAGACTTTCGAGCATTTTCAGAGGAGTTTAATCTGTTGGTTAGACGGAGACATTCCTGACGGTGAAAAGATTAGAAAAATTGATAGGCTTGTTATAGTGTTCAACCAAAATGGAGAAATTTGTATGTGAAAGTTTGTTAAAATCGACAAGGATGTACTTAATATGATGCATGGATCAGCTGATATTACCTTGATGGTTGTAATCTCCTAGATATGTTGATGTGTTTAGTTGTTTTATTTGTTTATCGTGTTGTTGTTTTATGCGTAATTGTCTTTATTTTGTTATACCTGAATGTTGTCTTGAATATGAAATGAGAGTTGAATTTTATATGATTTCATGGTTACAAAAAATGAATTACATATCAAGAGTGGCATACAATAATCATGCTACGGAGCTTGACCCAACATTGGGACAAATTTTTGGATTGTGTCTTAGTTGACAACATGTACTGCATAATCTTACCACTTTGTTTGTCGTATCCATTTTGGTTCGAATATGTGTGTTGTTAGGGTGGCCCTTTTTCTTCCTTCGCATATGCTCATTGTTCCAAATAATGTCCCCTTGATAAGAAGACCAATAATCCTCCTTTGCTACGACTGAGAAGCTATTGATGTACACATTAAATATGTTGTTGACTTTGTAAACAGTGGATAAATGTTTAGAAGGATTCTGAGGAGCACGTGTATATGTCGATATGACATGGGAGCAAGGCATACGAAAGGCTTGAAACTTTCTGCAATTTCACCAACCTCTATCATGTTTGACCCGATAGTATCCTTTTTGTCTCCCCTTATTATAGTCCATTATCTTATGTACACTAAACCAACCTTTAATATGGTCAAACATTGTAACACCATGTGTGTTAGCTTGGCAGTTTCCTCTTGAATAAATTTCATAGAGCTTTCACTAAACAACTATCTCGATTGTAACACTGACCTCCACTTTGAACCTCTTGTCTCAATTAATGACCCTAACCTAAAATAGGTTGCTTTCACCAATGTGATTATTGATAAGTTTCTGATACCTTTGACGATATAGTTCATTGATTCCACAAGACTTGTTTTCATGTGACCCAATCGTTGACCATTGTCAAATTCTGGTCCACTTCTCTATTGGAATATTATCAATCCACCCAACGTATTCACATTTATTAACCTGATATTTTCGCGGTAGTGCTGGAACGATGGTTCTATTAAGGCATACCTTGAGTTCACATCTTTTTTCAAAGTGTCTTGTCTTTGATCTCCCGCGTGAAGTTTTGTGCAATATGTCTAATGAAATAGACATGCGTAGAAGGGGTATCTTTCCAACCATCATTAGGGTTATTGTAAGCACTCTCAATAAATGGATGTCTGTCTGAAATCATACATAGGTTAGATTGCGGAGCAACGTGTAATTGGAGATTCTTGAGAAAGAAACTCCATCCACCAGCAGTCTCACCTTTAACCAGAGTGAAGGCAATTGGAAAAGTATTATTGTTGCCATCTTATACCACTGCCATGAGTAATGTTCCTTTATATTTCCTATACAACCATGTTCCATCAATTTGTATAATAGGTGTGCAGAATACAAAACCTTTGATGCATGGTTCATACGCCCAAAACACTCGATGGAATATTCTATTTCCACTAACACAAGTTCAGTCTGGGGAATATGTCGAGAGTGTCTCCAAAATTGCAACAGCTCCCAAAGCATAATACGTAAGTGCCACCAAACATTTTGGAAGTTCTTTGTACGAATCCTCCCAATTGTCGTATACTAGTTCAACGCCTTTATTCCTTGCTATCCATTCCTTCTTGTAAGAGGGGGTATAATTGAATCATGTAACAAAATGGGAGATTATTATACTCATCTTCAATGATGGATCCTTGCTAATGAGAGGCAGGATTTTCTGACATATTAATTGAGAGCTAAGTTTCCGATGATCCTGCATTATATTGGTGGTAATGCAAGTTTGGGGTGGATCTATAGAACTTATTTCCCATGAATCACTTATCTTCTTGTAAGATGATGATAGTTGAAACATGTACATTGGTTTTTGATGACATAAAATTATGTACCTCCCTAAATTAGTGTGATCGACAGTATAATTCGCTGAGATTTCCATGTGAAACTTTTTTATAACTCTCACACTATTTTCGGTTTAGGTGGTCCATTCTAGAGATGAACTACAACAAAAATCCTAAACACGCTATAACGGTCTACTAAAATATTTTGGGTCATATTAGACCCGACTATGTATTACAACTAAATAACTAAACATCTTGTTAATTTAGTTTAGTATTACCAATTTACTTATCTTCGAATAATGTATTTTTCCTCTACGGTTTATTTAGAGGACTTATTTGGGTCTCGACAATGAGATCAACCTCGAGGATGCTTCAGTTTGGAATGAAAAAACAACAATCATAAGGTTCACTACTGTGAAGATGCACTAGAGTGATCGTGTGAAACTGCAGTTCAGCATGCAGCAACAAATCCCAGATTCCTTGACGTATTTGGGAGAATGGCATCAATTAAGAGTTGATGTCCAATGGAATTATAGAGATTTGAAAGAATTCGCTAGGGATGTGTGTCGTCAATAGAGGCATCGATATCAAATGGACATAAATGAACTAATCATACCAAAGGATGCTAGACAAACTCAAAATTATATGGATTGGTATACAGCGATTTCAACAAAAATATTTATGTCTCACCCGAGATATTTGATCGATCCACACCAATGAGCTTCGTCATCATACGTCCAACAACTAACCCCACAAAATTACCAAACCCAATAACATTGCCAACGCACCAAAACCAAACACCCACCCCCACAACATTATGAATCCCCATACACCGAAACATGTGACCAATTCATGCCACACTCCCAAACACAAACCCAAGAGCATGAGTCATACAGCCACCAACCATATGCTTCCACCATAATACCTATGACACTTATAATACCATCACATCATACCATAGCTTGCAATCAATGTATAAGCAAACATCAAACTGCCAAAAACAGACAACTAACACATGTATTTCAAACACCACAAGAACAATTAATTCGTTTCCAAAAAGATTCAATTTCCCAACTCAACCAACCACCCCACCCACCTGTAACCCACCAACATGACCCAACTACGACAACATGGACATTGAACTGATATACGACATCGCCAACTACTTAGGAGATATGATTGATAATTTGTTAGATATTACTAATATCCCAAGACCCTCTCACCAACCACCTCTGGCTCAGGAGAGTTCTAGGAGACCCCAAACACCTGAGGGAAATCAAGTGAGGCCTTGAAGGAAAATGCAGGCGTCAAATTATGGAACCGGTAAGCGTTTGAATCGAGTGGGTCCTTAAATTTTGCTTTAATCATTGAGTAATTCTATTTTATAGAATAATATCATATTTTTTTTTATTTAATATTTTATTTATTTTTGTTGTTAAAATAATTAAAAACAACATAGGAGTCATGTTGAGTGGTGCATGCTCCTAAACCATACATGCATGTGTCATTGTCATTGACATGACTCATGAGCACGAGCCACATGCAATGGCGTCTTAGTATAAATTAGAGCGCATGTGTCACAGACAGTAGTGCATCCTCTACAGGACGAAATTATTTTGTTTAAAAAATGGTTAGTTTGGTTAAAAAAATAATAATATTGACAATACTTTTTTTTTGAAATTTTTCAAAAAGTTTATATTTATAACGCAAATTTTGATAGGATGTTGAATATTTAATAAAAATCATATCTTTTTACTAAACTTTTAAAATCCGTTGGTACCATTACCAATAATTTAGAAATATTTGGTAAATTTTAAAAATTTTGTTTAAATTTTTACCAGAAATTTAGAAATATGTGGTATGTTTATATGAAGTTTTACTGACAATTTTGAAATTACCAATAAAAAAATGAAAAACAAATTTTGAATCTTCCGAAATTTTAGTGTCAGCGATGTTAAGATTTTGGTAAAAAAACATTGTTTTTACTAAACACATGCCTACCGGATTTTTAGAATTGTCGATATATGTAAAGGTGTGACCGAATATTTTTTTAAAAATTGATAGGTTAAATTTTTTTTGTTTTTGTATGCAAGGGTGTGACCGTTAAAAAATAACACTACCTAATTTTTAAGAAGTGTAGGGAAATATTAGCCCTT